TGGGGGGGGAGGGGGGGCTGCACACCCTGCCCACGCCTGGCACGGGGACGGGGTCCCCAGGGCCACCCCAGCTCAGCGGCAGTGTCTGGGGGCCGGGGCGGGGGGCTGGGATCACGGGCACAGCAAACACCGCTGGAGTTAAAGTGCTGGGTAACGGCGCGGACGGTGCCCGGGATGGGGACAGGAACCAGGGACGGGGACAGGGACAGGGCCTGGCCTCAGGGACAGCCCCGCTGCAGGGGGACGTGGCGAGAAATTTGCTTTCCCAGAGAGATGTGCCCGGTGGCACCGTGGGCGCCCACGTGAGCGTGCACTGCCATGGGTGTGCAGCAGCACGTGCTGTCACCAGGGCAGGGCACAAACGTTGCACGAGGGGCCGTGACTGTGGGACAGCTCAGGGGCTCGGCCCAGCAAGGACCACCCCAAGGACCAACCCCCCTCCCCAAAACCCTGCCTGTGCAGTGGGAGCAACAGGCTCCATGGCACGTCCCCAATCTCCAGCCCTCCCGCGCTCGCCGGTGGGGAAACTGAGGCACGGAACAGCGTGGCTGAGGGGGTGAGCTGCCCGTGGCCACCCAGCACCCCATAGAGCAGGGGCGTGAACCAGGTCTGCGCCCCCGTCCCAGGCTCCCGCTGCCTCCAGCGGGCAGCCCTGCACTGGCAAAGGGTCTGCCCCCTCCCTGCCTGCACCCTGGGCAGCCAGGCGAGGCTGTAGGCTGAGAAATAAATCTTTTAAAATAAGCTTAAAAATATATATCTCTCTATAGATAGTTTCCCTTTGCAATAAATAAAGGTGGGGGGTGCCCACCCCAGGCCTTGGCCACAGCACCCCAGGGCACAACTGGCTCTGGGGCTGCCCCATTATTGGGATGGGGGGCACCAGGGCACCTTCTTGGGGCACCCCAGGACATGGCCAGCGTGGGGGGTCCCAGGAGGAGGTGACAGGGAGCAGGCAGTGACCCCACAGGGGGGGAGCTGGCAGGGCACCAAGCCCACCTTGCCAGCAGCTCCAGAAACAGAGGGGGGGGTTAGTGCTTCCATTTCTGGGGGGGACGGGGGCAACAAGCCCAGGGCAGGGTAACCCCAAACCCTGCGTGGGGGGACACGGCACTGTTGGCACAGCCCCGGGCTGGGGACACGCAGGCACAGCATGGCCTGCACACAGCTTGCATAGAAGTGCCAGCCTGCCCTGCTGAGCCCCTTTATGGGGGGCACGGGGGTCCGGTCCTCCTTGGCTGAGACCGGGGGGCATCGCCGCTCCGGCGATTAGCAGCACGATGCGGGCGACCCCGCTCTGCACCCTCCTGTGCCCACTGGGCGCTGGGGAGATGCTCTGCCCAGGAGCCAGCAACCTGCAGGTAGAAAGAAAGGGAGGGGGATCAGCTGGGTCCCCCTAAACCCAACCCGTGCCCCAAGCCACCATGCTTGAACGCCGGGGTAGGGTGCCCATGTCCTCAAGCTCACCTAGCGCCGGGCTCCTGCCCCGCGGCATCCCATGCTCTGCATTTCGAAGGCGTCAGGCACGGTAATGCCACCAGTGCTGGGCACGCTGGGCTCCTCCAGGCAATCCCGCTCGCCACTGGTGAAGCCCTCGGGGCCGAAGTTCGGGTAGGAACCAGGCAGCGTGGGGTGCAGGGCCACCGTCACCGAAGCGGTGGCCGTGACGGTGGTGTAGCTGCCGGCAGGACCCTGCAGGTGGGTGCTGTAGGTGGGCAAGGCTGCAGGGGGGGCTGGCCGGGCACCGGGCGGGCAGGGCTGTGGGTAGTCTCGGGGAGGTGTGGGGCACGGCTCCCCGAAGGGCAGGGAGGGTGCTGGCTGCGGGCCTGGAGCCTCCTTCCCCTGGACCTCCGGGCTGTCCTTGTAAGGCTTCAGCACCTGGTGGGGGGTTAATGGCCTGTGAGGGGCCCCAGCCACGCTGGGAATCCCTCCAGCGGGGCTGCCAGGGCCTCAGGGGACCCATGAGCCCCCATCCCCCAGTTCTATCAGTGACCCTCTCCCAGGGAATGCCGGGGAGCCAGCAATGCCACGGCAGGCAGAGACACTCACGGTGATGCGGGGGAAGCTGGGGTCCTTGCCGGCCTCCAGCAGGATGTGTGCCGGGGCCGGGGGCACGATGAAGGGTCCCCGGGGGGTGCGGGGCAGGCGGGGGCCGTTATCCACCGGGGATGCCTGAGTAGAGAGGGAAGGGCATCAGAGGGACCGGGGACATGCAGGGATGGAGGAGTAGGGGGTGGCAGGGAGTACGGGGTGATGTGAGGGTGGGGCGAGGGCTGTGTGGGGTGAGGGAGATAAGAGGTGAGGCAGGGATGGGGTCAGATGGGGCAGGGAGGGATGGGGGGAGTTCAGGGAGGGGGGAGGCAGGAGTGGGGTCATGCAGGTATGGGGCAAGTTGGATACGGGGCAGAGAAGGATGGGGTAAAGCAGGGATGGTACAGGGTGAGGGATGGGTTGAGGTGGGTACTGGGCAAGGCAAGAATGGGTATAGGGTGAAGGGGGGACAGGGTGAGGGGCAATGGGGGATGCAGAGAGGTGGGTACAGGGTGGGGGAGGGACAGGGGGCAGCAGCACCAGCCCGTTGAGCAGCCCCAGCAGCGTCAGGATGGTGAGCACTGCAAAGAAGCAGCTGGGGGGGGCGCAGGCAGAGGGAGTCAGTGGGCCTAGTCCCCATAAACCCCGTCCCACCCCAAACATGGCTTTCCACACCACACCCCCCCGCTTCCCAGCCTCCATACAAGATGGGGTGGGTGCCTCCAGCAAGACATGTCCTCACCAGCTGCCCCACATCCCCACCATCAGCCAGGAGGGGCTGCAATGGTCAACAGCCCCCACTGTCAAAGCTTTGGGGGGGCAGCAAGGGCTGGTTTGTCCCCCTCTCATGCTCACCTCATGATGAAGTCAAATTCGGAGCCAGCCAACATGAGGACGCCCAGGAGGGTGGAGACGGCACCGTCCATCACAGGGGCAAACGTGTGCTCCAGT